GACACCAGCATGCTGGTACAATCATAAAATTTTCAAATAGTCAATCGACTTGATGGGCCATTTAACAAATTAAGCATAAAGGGGCCGTAAACTTATCTATTTTAAACTATAGTTAAATCGTTAATAGTTAAGTTAACAGCCCTAACACTTTTACAGCATGTATGTATAAAAACGTAAGGAACAGTCTTTCTTAAATAGTTTAAATTAAGCAAATATACAACTTTTTCATGTCAAGTATGAATAAATTCTCCAAAGGGTTAAAAAAAGGTCTAGGGGCAATTTTAAATTTATGTGGCCAAAAAAGGTAAGTGGTCGCTAAATCTAGCCACCAAAGGGGCTAAAACGGCAACACTGCAAGCGGCATGAAGGCAAGAGCAACCGTGGCAGGAGCGAAAAAAATTAATAACTAGCTACTCCGTGCAAGTTTCCTTGTTTTTTTCAAATAATGTATTATAGAATAAAGATTTATATTCAATGTAAACGATTAAAAAATCTGATCGAGAAGTAATAAGTATTTCCATAAAAAAAAATAAAATTTTATACAGAATAATGATTATTTGAAAAATTTAAACAAGCAGGCTAAGGCGTGTATAATTAACTATTATCTTGGAAAAAATCAGCAAGATACATGCTATGAATCTGTGAATTCATCAAAAAACAGGTTAATAACAATAACCGTCCAATTTTGGGTGGTCCACTTGAGAGATTTTCACTCAATTTCATTATTTCTGATAAAAGTAAAAGGATTTCCTTTCCAAATTCTTAAAAAAAACTCAAATTTCTCAACAAAACTGTTTAATACGCGAAGTATGCATGACTTTTGATGAATCAGTTGAGAATTTCAGGATATTAGAAATTATAATGTAGCAGTGAGAGTGGCAGTAATCAGCTGTTATTTTAGGAGCAATACGTACATGTGTTTTAGTGGTAACTCTCTCATAAGAGCAGTGTCAGTTAGGGTTGCCAACTGTACTTTAATATATAGTATTGCATCTTTTCGGTCTGCGAACTGTATATTGTTGTAGTATGCAAAGGTACTATATTTCTTCATTTATAAATATAAATATACTAGCAGACCCGGCGAACTTCGTCCCGCCCAAAATAAATTTTTTGTACACGGTCAAAAATTTGGGTTTAATTTTTAAACCGCGCTGGGACTACTGCCTTTTTTAATATTTTATAGTCTACTTTTTAAACCAGTCAATAGTTTTAAGCAATTTTTAATATATTGTGGTTTAAATTTTAGTCCAAAAAGTTCGTGGTTTAAAAATCAAACCAAAATGTTTTAATTCTAGTTTCTAGGTTTCATATATAGAAAATTTGGTTTAAAATCTAAACCGAAATAGAAAATGTTTGCACACAGCGAAATGTGGTGTTGATTCAAACTCAACATATAAAAGCACATTTATGTATATGCGTGGGTGCAAATCTGCTTGATACAATTGGTTGCTACTAAGGCTGTCCGAATTCAATCCCCATCAGACGGAGCATGAAATTTTATTTTTATTTTTTATTCTTAATTATGAAAATGTTTGGGTTTAAAATTTAAACCGAACTGTTTAAATTCTAAACCCAATATATTGGCCCTCTTTTTTTAAATTTAGAAGGTTTGTATTTGAAACTGAATTTATGTATTTTGGTCATATATGTAGTCTAAAAAGTTTAAAATTAAAACCGAAATTTTTAACCGTGTATTGAAACATTTTGGTCCAACATTTTCACCAAGAGTTCACGTTCATGATTTTTAGTGACGCATTTGTCTTCTAATATTACGGTTTGGTGGTTGTCAGAAGGCATATTTGCCGTCTTAAATAACTTAGCAAAACCGTACATGCATACAAAGATACGTAATAGTTTCAGTGCGTTCGAAAGGGGCCACGTCCCCTTTTCAAATAACCCAAATTTTCTCTAAGAGCATGGGATTGATTTCATATATCTCTATACCATTTCCGAGTAATTTACCATGGTAGGTGCCACGTCCCTTTTTCCAATAGCCCCAACTTTTCTTCATGACCAGTCGCGTTTTATATATTTTGTACATACCAAGTTCCAGTACTCTTCCATGAACACATTCAGAGATATGCAATATGAAAAATTCGATGTGTATGGGAAGTGCCACGCCTCCTTTTCGATAGCCACAATTTATCTCCATGAGTATGCGATTGCTTTCATATATCTCCATACCAAGATCGAGACCTCTTCCATTTACATTTTCCGGGATATGCAGTATGAAAAATTCGGTTTGTATGGGAGGTGCCACGCCCCCTGCACCTAGCAGTATGAAATATACTTTACATCCGATTCCCATACCTACCATATATAACACAAAAAATTTCATAAAGATCGGTCAAGCCGTTTAGGAAGAGTTCGATTTTTATATGTATATTAGATAAGCACGATCCAAGAAGCATAGAAAAAATTTCTATGAAAAAAAAAATATTTTTTCTCGGGTTCACAACCATTCATCTTTTAAGTTGGAGCCAACAATACACACTCACAAAATTTCATTGAAATCGGTTAAGCGGTATCGGAGATTAGCGTAAGCGAACACAGTGACACGGGATATTTATATATTAAGATACCCTACTATAAGCACCTACCATAGATACGTTTGCGTACCAAATTTCAATTTCATTTGACTTATGGTTTTGAAATTATAGCTGATAAAATTTTCCACGCCTATGGGATGCGCCACGCCCCCTTTTACAAACCGATTTATATATAAGCACCTACCATTGATATATCTGCATACTAAATTTCGGGACTTATGGTACCAAAGTTATAGCTGATAAAAAATTCCATGCCTATTGGAAGTGCCATGCACTCTTTTCCAAACTCATTTATATATACCCTAATATAAGTACCTACCATTAAAATGGCTGCGTACGAAATTTCAAGTTCAAGCGACTTATAGCTCCGGAGTTATAGCTGATAAAATATTCCAGGTCCATGGGATGTGCCGCTCCACCTTTTACAAACTCAGTCATATATAGCCTACTATAAGCACCTACTTAGATACGTCTGCGTACCAAATTTCAATTTCACGTGACATATGATTCCGAATTTTCCACGCCTATGGAATGTTCCACTCAGTTATATATGCCTTACTTAAAGCGCCTACCGTAGACATGCCTGCACACCAAATTTCAGGTTCTTGGGACTTATGGTTCCCAAGTTATAGTTGATAAAAGAGTTCACGCCTATGGGATGTGCCACGCCCCTTTTTACAAACTCATGTATATATAGCCTACTGTAAGCACCTACCGCAGATATGTCTGCATACCTAATTTCAATTTCATGTGACTTGATGGTTGTGAAATTATGGCTGATAAGAATTTCCACGTCTATGGGATGTGCCACGCCCCCTTTTACAAACCCCTTTATATATACTTTACTGTAAGCACCTACCACAGTTATGTCTGCATACTTAATTTCAAGTTCATGTGGCTTATAGTTCCGGAGTTATAGCGGATAAAATATTCCTATGGGATGTACCTTTTACAACCTCATTCATATATACCCTACTATAAGCACCTACCATATGTATGACTGAATAACAAATTTCAAGTTCATATAACTTATAGTTTCGGATTTATAGCTGATAAAATATTCCACGCCTATTGGATGTACCACGCCCACTTCTAAAAACTCATTTATTTATACCATACTATAAGCACCTACCATATGTATGACTGTATATCAAATTTCAAGTTCATGTGACTTATGGTTCCGAAGTTATGATTGATAACAAATTTCTCGCCTATGGGATGTGCCACGCGCACTTTTACAAAGTCATTTATATATGCTCTACTGTAAGCACCTACCATATACAATGTACTCCCTAAATCTTTTTTTATTTCAAAATAAAAAAAATAGGGGCATACTTCCTCAAATATATAGTAGATATATCCTTCTCTTAGCGTAAAATAATTTTTGGGGATGTCTCGGCCACAGGACCACCTATCGTGTAAGTTTCAAGTCCAAATATTTCTTTTAAATTGGCTAAATTGTTTTCTAAATATGAGCCAAATCAGCAAGTAAATGCAATTTTTATGACAGCGCCACCTAGCGATTAAATTTTTAGCCGAAATATTTCTCTTCAAGGTGCTGAAATATGTTCCAAATATGAACGAAATCGGCCCAGCCGTTTAGTAGTTTAGTGACATTCAATATACGGAAAACTCTATGATATTGTGAAATCGTGACGTCTCGGCATTTTTCGGCAACAACAACAAAAAGATTAAAATTTTGTTTAATCGAAAACCCTTCCACACAGAAGGTCCAAAAAAGTACTTTTTACAGAATTGAAATCGGTTCAGCCGTTTGGTCAGGCATCGCCGTCATACGGAAAACTTTTCATTTTTATATATATAGATTTCAGTAATTTGCAAGAAAAATGTGTATTAAAATGGATGGCTTTTATACACGAAATAAAAATATTAAAAGAAATATTCTTTAAAATACAATATCGTAGTGAGTGAGTTTATTAATAGAACCACATATCAGAAATTGCAACACTTAAAAATACTTAGAATAGATTACGAAAATTATTTAAAATTATTACATTTCTGCCCTCTATTCCTGCAACTGCAGCATACGCAGAAAGAATGTGAAATGGCGAGATGAGGAACACCAAGCGACTTCCTCACTAATAAAAAATGAAGTTTTGATTTATATTAATTTAAATATTGATTGCGATAAAGCATATGATACTTTCAAATAAATATATTTTTATAGAGAAAATGCATAAGAAATATAATGGATGTATACTTAAAAAGCGTTTTTACTTTTTGTTTTAAATAAAAAACTATATATATTTGCAGTATACTATATTTTTTGAGATTTTTTTGAAAAAGTAATGTGCTATAAATATCTTAGAAAATGTTGGCAACCCTAGTGTCAGTATTCTTTACTGCCACTTTTAGCGAAAAATATATATTTACTGCCGCTACCGAAGCACTTAACTAGATACCACGATTATTTATAATTTTTTAGAGAAGTTTCTAGACGTTAAAGTAGTCAAATATACTTCAAATAAAACACCAACAACGAAAATGAGAATCAAATAAACTTCGTAAACTCTATAAACATGTGTCATATTTTTGTAATCAAGTTTAAAGTACATCCACCTTTTGTATTCGTATTTTAAAAAATTTGAATAAAAAACTACATACGAATGATGTAACTTTTTTAGGAACAATCTGTTTCATTTAGGTGCATTCATTTGATAATATTAGGTACAATCTGAAATTTCATGTTTCATCCCTGGTTAGGAAGCCACTCAAAAGTGTTGAAGAAAACGTTTTTTTGCGAAATTTTCGACTATGTTATTCGTGGTATTGCAGTTGACGCGCAATACGCCAAGCGACGATATGTAGTTTCGAGAAATTACGCGATCAGACCTGTGCTCGTATCCACCACGTCGAGGTTAGAAATTGTTTAAATAAATTAACCTTTATAATTATGCTTTGTAAATGAAAGTCAATTACTAGAGGTTTAGCGGATATACGGCTGGTTTTTCGTTGGAAAGCCGCTGTTTGAATACTAGTATATAGGTAATTAACTTGTTTATTCATTACCTGGATTTGTAAGACTGAGTGTATGTTCTGGAACATACTTCCACTTGAGAGCCGGTGCATTCAGTTGGCTTCCCTTTTTGGCTGACGATGGGGTAATATTAACAGGCGACTGCCTGTGCCCCGAAGCTTGCGGGAATTGTTTTGCCCAGTGAGCAGGTCCTGTAAATATATTAAGGAGAGATATTGCCTTTAAATATTAAATTTAATAAGATTGAAAATTAATTTTCATTAGGATTTTAAATTTTGAAATGTAACAACTACGTTTAAACAACGTAACGTTTGGTACTTAAAAAATCCTTGGTTCCATTTTAAAAGCCAATCCTAACTAATAGCCAAATATAAATTTAGTCTAATAAGTAGCGTGGAGTACTAAACTTACATTTTATTGACTTTTTTTCATACAAATAGAAGAATATTAACAGGAAATATGAAATATGACTACTATTTTCTTGCTACAAAAATATGTACAATAGGCGTATAAAAAATAAATGTGAAGTAGATACATATCGTCACCCTTATGCCAGAAGCATGAATGTGCAAATTTATCAATTTTGAGTTATTGAGTTGACAGGATTAGCCTTTGGATGTACTATGTTATACTTAATGTGACCAACTATTTCATAGCTCAAAGAAGTACACGTTAGGTTGGGTTAGCCCAACACCGCGAGCCGATTACGAAATTTCGAATGCAGCTAATTTCGGTCCTTAAGAGCTCAGTGTTTTTTCAGAAATGCGAGCCAACATGCTTCCATCTTAGCCTCGCGAAGGTCGGACAGTCCAAAAGAAAGTGTGGAGATGATTCCACTTCATCTTCCTCTTGACAGCTGATAAAAAAAGGCGTGTCAGAACCCCCATCACAAGTCCTTGAGGCGTAACGTGGTACTCGGAACCTTGACACCTTTAAGGGGTAGCGCTGGGTCACTCGTGTCTTACGCTGCAAAAAGTATTTTAAAGTGCCCTATAAAGGCATTTTCTGTAGAAAAGAAACGTCTTCTTTTCGTTTTTTTATGTCACAAATGGACCCGGTTTCCCTTAGCCTAATAGCAGTTCGTGCTGCGAAAATTTTGTCGGCAATATCCGCAACATACGTTAAGCGCCAGTGTAAGTGTGGTTCCTAATGCTCCGCTAGTTCCTATTTCACAAGTGTAGCCTTCTCTAGTGAGTTCCACCAGGCAAGAGTTCCGTGAAACAAGTTAGCCTTAAATATGGTTTCCTAGAGGTAATGAATTAATTCGGGCGAGAGACCTAACCTTTTACCGATCGCCCTCTTAAAGCAGTACAAGGCAACCGACCCTCTCTTACCCTTTCCTCAATATTAGGTTTCCACGACAACCGCCGTTGATCACCCACCTAGTTACATGGTTCAGGTAATCTTGAACCAGATCAAAAAGGGTGTATAGAAATCGTCCCTTAACCAAAAGTTCTACATCATCTACATAGGCGATCTCCCGACAGCCGACTTTTTCCAGTTTAGCTCAGACAGTCACGAACAATCGCGTTTCTTATGTACGGGTCTATCAGTGTGTCTAGGGTTTTTAGCAAAAACGAAGAGAGACTGATAGGCCCAAAATCCGTTGGGGAAACATGAGAGCTTTTTCCGGCCTTCGGGATGAACGCAACACTGACTACCCTCCAAGCCTTGGGGATGTACCCGATCCTCACGCAGTTCGCATAAATACGATCCAACCAATTGCACGACACCTTCAGAGCCCTTTGCAGCTGCGCAGTTATGATGCCATCAGTCCCCGGCGACTCTAATGGTTTGAGCGAATTTATCGCCCAGGCCGTGTGACGGTCGTCCAGAAGATCGGAGAAATACAGAACCTGAAGTTCAAATATCTCAAAGAAGTACATTTGACTGTACTTCGAAGGACGAAGTACAAGAGCGAAAAAAGAAGTACTGTACTTCCGAAAGAAGTACGGTTGGTCACATTAGTTATTCGAAAACCCAGACTACCATGCGTACACGGTAACCACATATTTAGTTCACAATGTCAATTACATGCTGCATTCATGTTAAGTTTCGTAAAAAAATTTCCCAAAATTCTCATTTTTACACATACATGCTTCTGACAAGCGGGAAACGTTATGTACTTGCTGATTTGTTTTACAAAAATGATTTAAAAAGCGGACGTCTCGGTTTCTCAGCTAACCGGTTAATCGTTTCTGCAATTATTTCACGTTGGTTCTCTAAAACAAATTTTCGATGTTTGCTTAGGATGCATAAACCTAGAGGTGAATTTTATAAGAATTTAAACTGACAATTTATTATTATTATTATTTGTTGGGGATTGATACAATATAATCATAACTTAATTAGTACACTGGCTGCTAGGACCTTCGGTGCTTATCTATTGTTTTGATTACAAAATGATTTATTCAATTCCAACTGTATATTTTTAAATATTCTCTGATATATTAATACTACAATTCATAAAATTGTATAGGTTAATCACATTGTCGTAGGTAACATTATTTCTAAAAATTTATTAAAACTAGTAGTAACCCCGAAATTCAGATGAATGCAGTAAATAAATACTTACTAATATTAACACTGAGAGAAAAATCAACCAAAAATTGGTTAATATTACCAAATTCAAACTTGAAAAGGAATCAACGTGATTGTTGAAAATATCAACCAAGGTATTGTTAATATTAACCACAATTTTGTTTACATTAACCAAACTTTTGGTTGGCGATTTTTCGTTTGAATACGTTTATGTTCTGCAACTCACAGATGCTTTTTCATAATTCGGAGATACAAAACAAAAATTTTTACTGTCATTTTAATATGTTACCTCTGACGGGATTAGCAAATAACAGCAACCAGCTCTACACACTCAGCCACTGCCATACATACGAATTTGTTCTCAAATGTTCAACTTGAGTCACATTTCTTACAATCGGCTTATTGTCCATGAAAAAATCAAACCGTAATGGTTGAAAAAACCATTGTGAAATGAAGAATTTAAATTTAAGTAAGACAACAATTAATCCTGTATTGCTAGAGACCTGATAACCCAGAATAATTTTTAAGTTCTTAAAGTATTTTACTCTACCCAAAGCTTCGTATAGTGAGCCGTGAGAAAACAGTCTTCTTTAAGGTATAGTCCAACTTTTCACAATATCTGTCCGCCGGTTATGGTGAAAAGCATTTAGACACTTTTAAACTAAAGCCTTCTTAACCCTTTCAGTACAAAAATTTAACCACTTGGATCGTTCATTTCAAAAATCACATCATCAAATTTTTAAAGCTTTGAGCTTTGCCGCCATTCAGGGTCCTTTATAATGTTCAGTGATATCCTAGGTGTTTAAAAAAGAAAGTGATCTCAACTCTTTTTATTTTTTGCTTTCGTGAAATATAATTCAAAACTATGAATAATACCTAATACCTTTTCCGATTCTCAATTCTCAATTCTACGGAAAATTGGTTAATATTTTTCAATAGATTACCAATTTTTACTTTTGTGACAAAAAGGGTAAACTGCACTTGAATTTGATATAAAGCTCAATTCGTGGCTGCTACAGGTCGCCCTAATTCTTCGTATTACTGAGCAATTACACTATACGGCAAAAACAACTTTTTTCTGGGTATTGGACCAGACCAATTTTTTTAAGAGATTGAATAAGAAGTAAAAAAGCAATTTCTCTGTTTTCCAAGTTAGCCTCCGAAATGGAGATATGAGCTTTCGATACTCGAAATAGGGCATTTGGTAAAAAATTAGTTTTTATTATTGTATGTAAATAACCAAACAAATGAAAATACAGATGTAGTCCGCCTCTTGCTTTTATTTAAGCGGCATGTAACTTGTTAGCTATGCAAGCTATGTTACAGGTGCTATAAGAGATAAAGGTCAGATCTTCGAAAAATTAAAAAACTTACATTTCAAACAATTTGAACTGATTTTTCAAAAATTGGTATCGTTGTAAAGGTGATTAAACCCTCTCTTCTGATATGCATACTTGCATACTTAGTGTATTAACATTTGAGAAAAAAACATTTAAAAGGAAAAGATACCTATTTTTTATACAGAAAGTTGCCTTTAATTTTATGCATACAGTGAACCAAATAAAAATTGGGACGCGGCTTTTTAGCAAGTTTTGGCAATTTTTCTTTAGTTTATTGAATGTCGATTTTTTTACGAAAGTATAGCTGATTACTTGACAAACCCGATATAAATCCATATTTCAGACTTTGTGTAAAAATTATGAAAATTCTGCAAAGTTTGACTAAAATTTTTAATTCCCTAATCACCATCTTTAGGCAAAATTTTGGTATGCCGGTTTTTACCCCATAAAATTTTAGTATAATGAACTGAAAATTTGAAGTATCTAGGACTTACCGTTGATTTTTAGCAACCAGGGACCGATCTATTCGAAAAAATCTTATTATGGACCGATTTGCTTAAAATTTTTTACGTAGGTAGCTTTTTGCTTGGATTAGTATATAGGATCATTTTTTCCGAGAAGTGCACCAGGGACCGATCAATATATATAATACAAAAACTCTGATTAAAAAGTTTGTAGTTTTAGAGTCCTATCAAGTTTGCAGCATAGTTGGGAATTTTAATTTAAATAGTTTATGGAATATGAGACATACTTAACGAAAAATACTTAAAATGGAAATTTAAAAAAATCACTGCATAACTACACATTTCGGGTCCTCAGTGATATATTTATGTATGTACAGTATCGTTCATATCAATAGCACCCCAATTTCAAAGTGAGTTTGTTTATCACTTTTGTCTATTTCTTTTTTAAATCTGATTAAAAGGTCGAAAATTTTGATGAAAAATCGTTAAATTTTCATTTGTTTTGTATAAAGTTTGAAAACCCGGTTAATATGATTTTGTTTAAAACATGATCAATTTTTTTTTTAATAAAATAATAACAAACAAATTTTAACTCTCAATATATTGTGAATATTTAAAAAAGGAATGGTGTACGCAGACTTTTGCTGTTAAGTGTAGCTTAATTAAATATTATGGTTGACATAATAGGTTCTTTCCCTAACAATCCGGACCGGATCCGCTAATTAGAGAATAAGCGAAAAGTTTGCTCTCAAAAATGGAACATAATCCAGAAGTACGGGAACGCAAAAAAACACATTTCGTGCCCAGAATTTGAGAAACAGCTGCAAACTCTTGGAACTTGAATTT